TTGTTCGACGCGCAGTCGCCCGAGCCATCCTCGGCCTCGGGGGTGGTAGTCGTCGTCGCCGCGGCGTGAAACACGCCCAGCGACGCGTCGACCCAGGACGCGCCGATCGCGTAGGTCGTCGCCGGCTCCGCGGCGAGCGCGCCCGACGGCGCCGCGGCGACGGCGTCGGCCCGCTGGATGCCGTGGCGCGCGCCGGACGAGTCGGCCTCGCCGAAGGGCGCGTCGTCGGGCGTCGCGTGGAAGAACGCCGCGGCGACGGCGGCGCTGCCGATGTCGGACAGCGCCAGCGCGACGGCGTCGCTCGTCGCCGTCGCCGCGACGTCCGCGGCGTCGCTGGCCGCGTCGCCGGACGACGCGAAGGCCGCGGCGTCGGTCTTGACTAAACCGTCGCCGCCGCTCAGCGCGTAGGTCGCCGACACGTAGACGCCGCGCCCGAACGGTAGGAACGCGAAGAAGCGGACCTCGCCGTCGGATTCGCCCGCGGCGAGCGCGACGTCGTGGTCGAGCGACGGCGTGCCCGGGTCCATGGCTTCGCTGAAGTACAGGGAAAACGCGCCGGCGCCGGACGCGCGGAACGCGGCGCCGCACGCCGTCGCGAGCGGAGTGGTGGCGGACAGCACCGTCGCACCATCAACGACGGCGGCCGACGGCGCCGACGCGTCGAAGAAGCCGTCGGCGGACGCGGCCGTGAAGTCGTAGACTTCATCTGTCGAGGCGACGACGGCCGCGAAGGCGAGCACGCGCAGCAGCCTCATTGTGGTATTGCGCGCTTCGTGCGCTTCGTGCGCCGCAGTGTTTTTGCGCGCGAGCAGGCGTCGACGGCGGCCTCGAGCACACAGAGAGCGCCGACGGCGGCCTCGAGCACACAGAGAGCGCCGACGGCGGCCTCGAGCACACAGAGAGCGCCGCCACCTCGATGGCAAGGAGCTCAGTCGAACGAGCTCTGCAACTCCTTCAACTTGATATTCAACATAGCGTCGGCGCCGGCTTTCTATACTTACAGGTCGCGGTCGCTGCGCCAAAACGCGATGGTGTGCGAAAAGACGTCGTCCGGGGCCTGGAAGAAGAGGCGCTCGTGTGCGGGGACGCTCGACGGCGCGGTCGCGCGGCCGCTCTCGCGGAGCGCGGGGAGCTCCCGGCGGAGCGCGAGCAGCG